AATGACAAAAGCAGAAAAGGCTACTTTCAGCAGGCATCAAGGCTCAGTTGACACTGGGCTGTTAAAACAGCAATGAATAAATTAAGAACTACCAAACACTGGCAGACTGCAATCAGACCCAAATATTCCAGCGATCACTTTGTCGGCATTGCAATTTTTTAAAAAAATGGTTCCAAACTTTGAACCTGCTACATGGTTTGACACACCACGTTGAAAATATGAATGTTTGAACACACATAGTAGGACATTTTTAGAAACATTTAACACATATCAACACACATACAGCATGGCATCACACCAAAACATTGAGGATTCTCTTTTCCTGTCCTAGATATCACAAACCAAAACTCTCCGGGTACACGCAGGCTGAGGGGGTGGGGGTGGGGGGGGGGGGGGGGGGCCTCAGGAGCACAATCCAGAACACACACATTAACTTAATATAGGATCATACAGAGTATATCATTAAGTCCCACCCACTTCTCCCCCCCCCCCCCTCCAAATTACATCTGCACTTATACGCAAAGGTTAAGTCACATCATCTTTCCTATCATTCATAAGACTTCACATCCATCAAAACGTAGGAACTCATATCATATAATAACATTTTCCAAGACAAATACCATGTCTTCTGTCATCAAAAGAGTACACACACAAACGTTCACATTTTTTCTCTTGTTGCCTTCCAACAAAGCCACTCATCATATTAAAATCGTGTATCTGTTCTCATACCATCAGCTTCAGTGCACAGTTATCACAAGGGTGTCACAAACCATTTGTAAGAGAGAAACTGCAACAAAATTCAAACTGTTCTTTATGTAAAAAGCAACAAAAGTCTGAAATATAAACCAAACAAAATAACACACACAAAAAAGATTAACCCAAACCTTCAGAGCCAAAAAGCAATAACAACTGCACAACAATAACAATAAAATAATAATTCAGCCTTCGGCAAAGGGGCAAGCGTACCTGAAAATAGAATTAGGGGAATACATTTAAAAGAAGATGAAAGGAATGGGGTATTGCAACATATATTCATGCTGGAAAATGTGTACCATGTTGAGAGTATGAGCAAGATGTGTATGCGAGTGGTAACAATTGCCAGTGCAAAGTACAGGCCCTCTGTGCATATCAGTAATTATAATGTTATAACATAACATATATACATATACATGATACATGCATTACCTCATCACTTTTCGCACAACGGAAGAAAACAGGAAAGGACCACAAACGACTCACCACAGGAGGCAGCTCCAACTTACAAGCATCATCGAAACAACAGGTACTGAATAAAAAAGAGACTTCATAACAAAGACACCCTTCCCCCCTCCGTGAAATCAGCATTAAGAAACGAAGTAAGGAAAAAGCACAACCATTGAACCAATGAATCAAAAGTAAGGATGTCTTTCCTGTGACACACCAAGCAGTAGCAGCACACACAAAATCGCTAAGACAATAAAGCTATTCTATTTTCAAACCATCTGTTTACTGAAAAATTCCTATCCCCCTCTGTCGGGAAGACGCATATACATATACAAAACCGTGAGTAGAGGTGGATATGCATAGCAATTATGGACAGTAGATGAGAAAAACGGTCTGTACATTATGTTCAACGCATATCAGATTCAAGAAACCAGGCAAGGATTTATATAATCAAATACAGAAAAATAGATTGTAATTTCTCTTCTTTTTTTCCTTCTTCAACACTGCGCACTCTCCATGAAAACATTTTAAAACCAACAAGCACATCATTCGCAAGCTGTTAAAATTAAATAAGCCAAGACAGCAAAATTTTTACCAGAAAGAGAGAAAACTGCTTCATTCTTTTAACATTTTGCGACCTCAGTGCTTTCTTGTCACATCTCCATTTTTTAAACAGTGAAAACACTTAAACAGTTCACAACAAAGAGTGAGCTTAAGAAAAATTCGAATTTTCACAGAAAAAAAAAAAAGGAGATACGACAAGAAACCACTACGGTCGCTATTTGTTCCTACATTATGTGTTGTTGTTTTCTTGCTTAGAAACAATTATTAAAAGAATGATAGTTTTTTCGCATTCTGAAAAATTTAGTTTTCTGGGCTCTGAACATTTTAACAGCTTGTCAACTATGTATATATGAAATATATACTCCTCAAAACATTTTTGGGACCAGTAGATGTTTCGGTTAATAAATTTTGAAAGGGCATTATAAATATGAATATTCCACATAAATTCCTTTACACTTGGTGTCATTGTTTACATAAATGAATATGATGCGACACATTATACATGTTTTTTGGAAAACAACTCCATGTTGCACAATACTCTTGCAAAAATAAAAAATCATTTAAGCTAAAATTTAAACACTGCAAAGTACAGAAAACGTATCCACGGAAATATTGTTCATTTTCCCTGAAGTGCACCAAGGTTGTGATGAGTTTTACTCTCCAGTGTGTCCTCATAACAGACCCAACAAGCAGTAAGGGGATTATGTTACATAATCAAAACACCTGAGCAAGATGCCTTGTCAGAGCAATGCTTACAGACAGCAAGCCACAGAGCAGCCTGGCAAGCTGGGAGCGTTCAAAATAGGAGATGGACACTGCAGCAAAGGGTAAGGGTTCTGCTTACAGATGAACATCGGTTCTCTCTGAAACCTATTGGTGGACGTATCAGGGTCTTGGAGGGTGTAGGTAACGTTTCGTGGATGGAACTGTTTGTATTTTTGAAAGGAATCTATTTGGAGGAGGTACTGAATTGGTTTCGAGATGCATGAGTACCTACAGAAGAACACCTCTCCATGAGGTAACTGAGAATATGACAGGTGATCATTATTGAGTTTAGACTTCACAGCTCATTGTTATCCCATCTCTTCAACAGACGGGCCTTAATGCAGTACTGCAAGATGATATTGCCAAACCCCATTGATCTGGACCTGTTGAAGCCTTCATTCAGCAAGTGGAGGTCCATAGGTGAACTTGGCCAGCTAACAGTCCTGACCAAAACCATATATTGAACATCTTTGGGTTAAGCTAGGAAGACATATTTGCCACAACCACCCACCCAGCTATAGCACTCGTTACAGTAAGAAAGGGATGCTTTTCCTCAGGCCTTCGTGTGTAATCTGTTTCAATCCACGACACGACAATGCCATGAGTGCTTGACGAACAATAGAGGTCACATCCACTGCTATACCTTTTAAATCAATGCTCATTGTAAAGGTTTAACGTTCCTTTCAACACTATAAGGTTATTTAAGAGGCTGGACCTCTGTATAACATCCATCTCGGATAAAACCTAGCCAAATGGGTAGTCTTAAAACACAAATTCAAAATGCCCCACCCCCCTTTAGGATTGAAATCAGGGCCTCCGTTTTGTAGTCTCACATGAAACCAACTACAATAATGATGCACTCCTTTAAAAACAAGATTCTCTCCAGCAAGAGTGTTTGTGAGTAGATGGCAAGTGAAAAATCCTCAAATTTTTCCTTCTCTTGAATTTGGGCAAACAAAGATATTGCTCTTGTGATTTTCCCCGGGGGGGGGGAGCAGCAGTTATCAAGTGTTACATTCTCTACTTTTGTTTGGCATTTCTTCCGTGCACATGAAAATTTGTGATCTTCTCCTTCAGATTATGTGGAAAAGCATATAGAAAAAGAGATTCAAAATAACAGTCACATAAAATTATAAAAAGTGGTCCTTAAATTTTTTTGAAGAATATATATGCATATATATATATATATGTGTGTGTAGACATTACAGTCACAAAAGGGAACAGGTATCCAAAAGAAACAAAAAGGACAGAACATTTCTTTTATCGGAATACTAGAAAAGTTGCACCCTGAGACACATGAAATCTTTTGAACAAACAACTAGATTCAATGTCCACTCTTTCTTCATATAGGAAAATTGTTCAGGCAAAGACAGCCTCTAAGTTACACTTTTTATCCTTTAAAGATGAACAACTACAGAGAAAATAACACTGACAAACACCAGCCCCCCCCCCCCGACACAAATACAAAATATAAAACCCAAAAAGACAAATTCATAGATGGAAACAGACCACTAAAAGAACTCGTCAAGCTCCATCATGAAAGCTAACAGACCGCACAAAGACAAATAAAAAACGACATCATCAATGGAAAGAAAGCGTACAAAGACTTGAAAACAGAGCTGCTACATCATGAGTGGAAATAGATCACAGAAAGACAAACAAAGAGCTACATCATGAGTGGAAACAGAACACACAAAGACAATCAAAGAGCTACATCATGAGTGGAAACAAGAACACACAAAGATAAAACAAAGAGCTCCATCATGAGTGGAAACAGAACACACACAGACAAAACAAACAGCTAGATCATGGATGGGCCTCAGCCTATGGCACACTGAACAGCACAACAGGACTCCCACTCTACTACCCCCCTCTGCTGTTTTATTACACATGCCAGTTATTGCTGCACAGAACAAAAATCCAACACAAAAAAAAAAAATCACAGTGAAGAGATATCGCCGCTCCACTACACACAGAAAGACTACTACATGGCGTTACCCACAGCTAGTCCAGCTCTACATACAAATATGTACTGGATGATAAATGCTTCAAATTGGTCTTTCCATATATATATCTATCTATACATATAAATAGAGAGAGGGGGGGGAGGGAGAGGGGGAGAGAGAGGGAGAGAGAGAGAGAGAGAGAGAGAGAGAGAGAGAGAGAGAGGGGGAGGGAGAGAGAGAGAGAGAGAGAGAGAGAGAGAGAGAGAGAGAGAGAGAGAGAGAGAGAGAGAGAGAGAGAGAGAGAGAGAGAGAGAGAGAGAGAGAGAGAGAGAGAGAGAGAGGAACCAAACATCCACCATGTGAAGAGTCACTTTGATTGGTTCGTGGAATATCAGTAAGACACATCAGATACTCAGATAGGCAAGGTACAACGCAGGGGGGGAGTGGTGAGAGAACGTCATTACTCCAAGAAACTCATAGGTCAACATGACATTTAAATTTATAATATATCGTCAGGTTTAATATTTTTTTCCATAGTACCAGATACGCTATAGGGAACGGGAGTGAATCCATAAATGCTGGTGTGCGGGGTATACAAAGCGTATACATATATATAAAGATTAGTGTCCCAACAAGGATGCTGATGTCTAAATCCAGCATTCTGAAACTAAAAGTAAAACTAACACTCGACGTGAGTAGATAACAGCTTTTGCATTGCATATATATATAAGTGTCCTTGCAACTGTAGACTATCGATTTATTATACTTCAAACATCATTTTATCTCCACAAGTAAGCTGGAGACAAATTTTTATTATTTTGGAAAGTCTAGATTTAATAAACTATAATTCGCTGAGGACATCAGTGTGAATCTGTAATTCCGCAATACTTTCAGGAAAATTTATGACGGAATTGTAATGGTTTTATAACCCCATTGACACAATATAGATCATCTAAGCGGTGGGCTGCTTCTACCCTGTCTGTCAGGATCAATTCTGATTATTTTGGACACAGCATCCCAGCCAACAGACCGAGATGCTCAATAAAATAACTTATCCACGAGTGGATAGAACTACCATCTTAAGCAACAAACAGCAGAATTTTTTTTAAAAGGGGGAAAAAAAACAAAAAAACCTTTCTTCCCCTCTTGAAGCAAATTTCTGACAGTTTTCAATAGGATCACAACATACCAAATTTTCCTTCAACTCTTTTCTCCTTTTAGTTGCCAAAAACCAACCCATCAAGTCTCCAAAACATCAGCCTATGCTTGGGCAGCGGAAAGCTTCATTGTCAGGGACGAAAGTCGGTCGACATCAAACAGAGAAGAGAAATTTCTGAACTCAATAAAGACCAGATCTACTCATAGGCACTATAAAAAATGACTACAATAGTTTTACATCACTTTCAACACAGTCAGGTCAGGCCACTGGAACTCTGGACTATACACCAAGCCCAAAGACTAAGTGCGGGTTTGAAACCAGGACTCTCCAGTTCTTGAGCACTCACACTATCTATCTACTGAAACCTAAATCTGCTTCAGGGGAATACCTCAGCTTAGGAGTAAACCTGTGCCCACAAACATAACTAGTCTGAAGGTCAAACCAGGCCCAGCTTGAATACTTTGGGAATTGTCATCACATTAATTCTAATCATTCATCACAAAAGTCCCCTTATGCCACAACAAAGTTTTAAAAAGACACAAATGTCTGAGTAAAGTGAAGCACATCATCGCAATAACTTCAATCTAGCATTGGGAAAAAGCAAGACAGAGAGACTGACAGAAACTATAGAGGGAGATATAATAAGAGGGACATACCAGTGGCACCTTAAGATCAAATGCCCTCATGGAAAAGTTCTAGAAAAAAGAAGTGACGACAGATTTCAACATCCAGTCCATTCACTGTACAAACAATACTGACAGACTTATACTCAGCTCCAAGCTCCACGTATATCTAGGATCTCCTGCCAGTGCTAAACACAGCGAGGGAAAAAAAATATAATTCAAATATATACGTATTGCTGTGAATATCTATTAAACTTCGTGGAAGAAGGACATGGAAATTTGAGCTATGACTTGAACATTACATCAATCTCATCAAAACACAGATCAGGTACATAGTTTGCAAGCTGTAAAGTGAAAGAAAAAAACCCAACCCACTACTACTGTGTATGAACTGAGATTTTCATTTCCAAAGGATTACTTTCGTGGTGAAAGACTAAATAAGACAGAAATAAATAAACTTCCTAGTTCAAACTGTCCTGATGCTTTCTTCAGTATAAAAATCAAGGGCTTTCAACATAATTAAAAACAGACCTTGTTAAGACTTATCAATACAAGTCAAAGGGTACCAAAGTTAACCAGCCTTGTGGAAAATCTGAAGTAACTCTCCCAAACACTATACAACTAAAAAAAAATAGAACTAACAATCCGAAAGGAGCTTCCTGCTATATGAATAACATGAACTTAGATATCATTAGAAAAAAAAAATGGTAGACAGAACAGATGTTGACAAAAAGCCTGCAGAAACTTTCAAGCTATTTTGAAAGCAAAGAAAACATGTTTCCGGTAAAGTGTACACGTAAGTCCTGTGCCATAAGAACACATCATTACTTTCCTTGTAAAAGCAACAAACAATCTCAAACTCAAACACACGAAGCACAACGAAAAATTTCTTTGACTGAAAAACATTTCTAAAAGGGCATTTCATCTTTATAATGCATCTTCCAGAGCACCCAAATTAAAATTGACAAGTAAATCCACATGAACACAGGGTGCAAAATGCAATACAAAACACTTCTCTTCCTCAATCAAAAAGGGAACATTTCATTCTCTCCAACGTAAGTGTTGCTACAGGTGACCAAATGGAATTCTGAACACCCAACATTACACAGGAGGGCTAGTTGAGCAAATATCCACCATTCACACAGAAATTACTTTATGAGTTATTGCCAATGTCTTGTCAAACATAAAAAGTAGTGAAATTACCAATAACTTATTTTTAAATGCCCAGTATTTATCAGTGTTTATCTAGAGAAGAGTAGAAGATCCTCATCTTTACAAAAAGCTCAGGTCTAAAAATGATCTCAATCCCCCCCCCCCCCCCCCCCCCCAAAAAAAAAGAGAGAGAAGAAGAAAATCAAGCAGCTAACAGAGCAAATAAGAGATTTTAAACACGGTCAGGGCACCATGAACTGCATACCCAGACTAACCGAATAAAAGAATTGTCCAGCTGTGAAATTAGAGAGTTAATAACCAGCACACTGCACAACAGGTGCAAGTGTGTGTGTGAGTGTGACTGTGTGTGTGTGTGTGTGTGTGCGCGCGTGTGAGGAGGTAAAATGTTTTAAAAGACGACTACATTCCAACACACATGACTAAATGAATGCTGCATACAGGAACTCAGGTGGAATCCCCTCCTTTCGTTCCATTGACACAGCAAGTTTCCAGGACCCAGACTTCTCCAAAAGTCACAAGTAAACAACAAGGGGAAGACCTGGAGAAAATCTCCAACAGCCTTCGTTTTATTTCCACTCATATTAAGTTTTCAACCGAAAACTAAAATACAGTCCACTCTCAGACTCTAATTTACAACACAACTTACTGGAAGCTTCACTTTTTGACTTGTGAGAATCTGTAAGCAAGAATCAAGTAATTCACTTTAATGCAGTCTACCAGCTTGCCTTGCTGTTACTTCATAATATTATATTCTAATCATAGCTAGAAAGGACATCGCACAGGCCCACATTGCACACAGTATCCCAGCTCACAACAGATACGGAATTTCATAGCAAGTGTTAAGTCCCTTCTTGTCTTATCTTATCAGTTTGCAACCAAGAAATGATCCATGGATTCCTGCGGAAATAGATAGGGACCACAACTCACTTTCTTTGCAGTGTAGAGTTGACTCAGTAAAATGTCCCCTCTTCAGACCCTGACGAAAAATATGTCAGTCTGGGGGGAGGTACTCATGAGAACTTTCCTGGGACCGTGGTACTGAAAACATGCTGTTCATTCATAGCCAGGCGTACACTGCATCCTGAGTATGTTGAATCGAGGTTGTTATATCCATTCTCAGACCACAAAACCACATGTCAACAGCATAAGTAAGATTTGTTTTGCTCTTTCTCTCACCGCAAATGAGTCCACAGCTTATACAAGATTTGTTTCCACTGAATAGAACAAAATAGTGCCACATGTCATTTTCGCACAGAATATCCCACTTCCTGCACTACTGAAGAATTGGTAAAGCCTAGTTAGGTCCCCCACAAAACCACTTCTGGGGGAGGTCGTGGTGGGGGTAGTGATGGGAACCGGGTTGTGGCCAGGGGGGACAAGTGGTTATGGAGGTCGTCGCTAGCTGGAGAAGGGCCTGAGATGCTCCAGCTGTATTTCCAGGGCGATGCGTTGCTCCATGACCTCCTGCAGCTCTTGGTTCAGCTCGCTGTTGAGCCGGGTCAGCATCGTGTTTCGCTCCTTGTGAGTGCGCACTGCCATCAGGATGTCCCGCCGATCTCGGCTCACTTGTCTACATAAAGAGGGGGAAACAACCAAATAAGGGTTACCTCTTTCCATGCAACAGTTGTACAAGGATGCACAGGTTTGATTTCGGGGGGGGGGGGGATTTTTTTATTGAGTATCTCCCGTCTTTCAGCTTGAAAATTTCATCTCTCTCAGTCCTGATTGGCCGTGACAGGCAGGTTCAAACCATGGCACCTAAATGATCTAAGTATGTTGATAATGGGGAAAAAAAAAGACGTCCTGTCACATTGCCCCAGGAACAGATAGAGAAAATCATAACAGTGGCAACACAAAAAGTGGAGAGGAGTCACAGAAAATGATGCACACAAAAGTGAGAAAACACAGAATAATAATATGAGGCTAGCCCAGGATAAGGAAAGGTGGAAAATGTTTGTTCGTATTCTTTATCCTGATGCAGGGTGATAATTATGATGGACACGAAAGTGAGAGGATTAGATCTTGAGAGAGCCCAAATTAGCCCCTCAAAACATTAGAGGTTTTACGCCCCTTTCAACACTGTTAATTTATTTAAGAGGGACCATCAAATTAAACATCAAGCTCTGATAGGACCAATTCAGGTGGACAGATAGTTTTGAGAAACTCGGCATCCAACCCGATCTCATGAACACCCCACTGAGGATTGAAACCAGGGATATATGCACCAAAGCCTAGCAAGATATCAACTGAGTTACAGGCATGTTTAGCCACTTGTAGAAACATGATGAAGAGAAGACTGAGACAAAATAAATGAACAGGATAACACTAAAACTATTTGTTTAAAAAAGGTCAAGAAGTGTGTTCACCAAGGCTACACAGATGACAGGAAACACAAATGATAATGTGGTGCTTTCATGTTTGCCATGTGTATATCGCAAGTCAAAATAATAACTGCCGTCTTTGGTGCAACAGATAGGTGGTTAGCTGACACACCCAAGAGACTCAAGTTCGACTCCCCAGTGGGGGGAAATTTTAACCGAGTATCTCAGTCTTTCTGCTCTCAGCTAGGGTTGGCCCTGATAGGTAGGGTCAGAAGCCCGCCTCCTAAATGATATACATGGTATCAATGGGGGAGTACCTACTACTACTACAAAAAAAAAATCAATCAAAATCCCTGACAACAACTTTCAACATGCTATTTGCCTCACCAGAGGACTTTGCCCTAACAACCAATCACAGGCCAGGAGGAAAAATATTACCCATGATAATCATGATGTGAAGAGTTCATGAACTTGTCACAGTGTCATACTAAGCAACGAGGCTGACCCCCCCAAAAAAGCAAAGCAAGCAGGGACGTCTCTCTAGCTTAAAAAATTTCTAAGGCACAAAGACAAAAAACGTTTGAACATTTCTCCGTCCATCTTTACCAATTTCTCCACCCGCTGGACTGAGTTCAGGATCTTTGCTGTGCTTACCTGAGGGCCATGGCAGGTTTTGGCTGCAGTCTATCTTTCCCACTATTGTCTGCTGTGTCTTCGTCCTCCATTAGGTCCTAGGAAAAAGATCAGTGGCAGGACATGAAACAATTATAGTCATTTGAGTAAAGAGAAGAACATCAAAACAAAAGATTATTGTTCAGTCTGAACACAGGGATAGGGCAGGAGAACAGACAACAAAGTCAAATACAGCATGTACCAAAACCAGCCCCCCCCCAAAATAAAAAAATAAAAAAATTTTAAAATCATCCCACACCAAAGCAACAGGTGAGCTTAGCACTGTCTTATGGCAACTTAATTTTTCCAGTTTCGTGAAAATTACTTTGAAAGCATTAAAAAATTCCAGTCACGAAAACAGATTTGTTTGTTTTAGTAAAGAGAAGCACATTGACACAATAATTGTCATTTAGTGCTGGGAAAAAGTAAGACAGAAACAGCAGAGGGCAAGGAGATAGAAGTAGAACTACCACTGGCACTCTCCAACCACCTGCGCGATAACAGGAATCAGAATAAAATGAAACTTAAATTTTCACAGAACATGGTCATTAACCATAATAATCTTGGGCTCTAAAGAAAGGTTTTTCCAACAGCCTTTACAGCTGGGATAAAAAACTCCCAGATGCGGGAAATTGTAGATAGTACAAGAAAGCACAGAGCTCACAACATGGCAATGCACTACAAGAAGCTGATAAGTCCATCAATGTTTAAGTATAAGTAACGATAAGCAAATCAACACGTTAACGACCATTCAATGCAGAGAAAAGGAACGACAGCCAGAAACAACAGAGGAAAAGAAAAGAAGTAAGAATAGCCACTGGCATCCTCCAAAAGCCGTAGTCTCATTAATATTTTTATTTCCTTCTTCAGGCAACACTCACCTTCTCAGCTGACACTGGTGCAGGCTGGCTGTTCTCCGGTCCTGTCATAGAAATACAAACATTACTTTGAGATATAGCACACATTAAAAGACTAGCATCAATATAGAATTAGTTGTTGTACCAGCACAATGTCCCACTTAACCATTATGTAGATCAACATTAGGTTTATTAACCCTTTGAGCCCTGACCTCCTGTTGCTACCGTGCAGAATCACAATCCATATCCCAATCAGGGTAGTTCTCATCATTACAAACATTTATAATTCAGAAAGATCTTTTTTAAAAATCAATAATGTCCTATGAAGCAAACACTGTTTTCCATGCGCGTTTTGTTCCAGACGAGCCGGTTTAGCGATAGGGTCACTTGCTCTCCGATGTACCGGTGGCTAGGCATACAAGCAATTTTACGCACCATCGACTCATAGGGTTAAGCAGCAGAACCTCTCAACTTTACCTGTTGGGTCGAGAGCCTTGAAAACTCCCATAACAACTTATGTTCATGAATCACCTCCCCCCATTCCCAATTACAGTTTGCAATCCCGGCCATCTGCATTGTTTTCAGTATATCAACCAAAGTATCTTTGCGCCTATCAGCATGTGGCATAATAATAATAAATAGCATTTGTATAGCGCATATATCTGCCTGACCATGCGCTATATCATTACTCCAGCAGACCCCGTAACACTCAGAAACATTCTCAGCTTTCCGGAAAGCATACAGTGCAGTTGCTTAAGCACTCAAACACTAACAAACTGACAATATCTTTTGCTGTCTATAACTGGGTACCCATTCTCACCTGAGTAAAGTGAGGAAAATTCGAGTACAGTACCTTTCTCAAGGACAAAACGTCAGGCCCCTGACGGAATTTGAAATCATGACTGACGGTTGCAAGTCCGAGAGCTTAATCACAAGGTCATCGATGTCACATAAAGGCTTGGCCAATTGCAGTGAATGCAAGCAAAGTGAGTTTGATTCTCGCGCGCGCGCGCGCGTGTGGGTGGGTGTGTGTGTGTGTGTGTGTGTGTGTGTGTGTGTGTGTGTGTGTGTGTGTGTGTGTGTGTGAATATATACAAAATATCTCTGTCTTACTATTACAATGTATCCCACACAGCCTTGGCAAGGTCGAAGCAGCTCACCTCCTACATGTGAAGCGTGATGACAAAATGAGTTACTCCTTGGATTCAAGCCCTTTGGAACTAGATACATCACACTTGTAGGTTAAACAATTAAAAAGTATAGAATAACAAAAGGCTTGTTATACTTAAAGTTTATTTCATCAATAGAGAATCTACAAATTTGACAGGAGTGTAGATTTTTGGCCAATATCCCCATTTATGGATTGCGAGAAAAAACTCATTTTGTAAGCACACCTCACATACAGTCTTAAGTGCATCCACAGGGGAGTAAAATTTACAACAAATAAATGTTTTGTTGAGTAAAGAGAAGCACATCTCTACAATGACGGCCATTTAGTGCTGGAAAGTCAGACAGACAGAAATAATAAAGGGAAAGTAAAGAAGTAAGACCAACCAGTGGCACCCTCCAACCACCCGCGACTCACTCTCAGAGTGTGGTCAGGTTGCCAAACTCGTAATTATTGGGGTCCCCGTTCAAATCCTGTTCTGGACCCCAATTGCGTCTTTGGAGTTGGAAAAGATCCTTGGCATAAATTTTATTTGACTGATTTAATTTCTGAGCTCCTGTAAAATAGCTCCTTGCGCAGAAAGTTTTCCAGAAAGCTGACAAAGTTTTGGAAAGCAGGAGGGTGTCTCAGAGTCATGATATTATTTTAAGAAGAGTTTTACAGCACTTGCAACACAATTAGGTCATATCAGTGCCGAAGATTAGAGGTGCTGCAAGACAGAAACAAATAACATGAAAAAGGATGAGAGATAAGGAAGAAAGATGTTTGATAGGAAAGAAGGAGCAAACCACACCAAAGCGCCCTTCAACCACCCACGTGACAAAGAAGTAACAAAGAAACTTACCCGATGGAGCATCAAGGGGCTGAACCACAACTGTACCCTATGAAGAAATGAGAAACAGTCATGACATCAGAGTCTGCTGCATCAAATCATCAGATTGTTTTAGTAACAGTGTAATGGCACTTGCAACACAACTAGGAGTGGTGAAGATTTAGAGGGGCGACTAGATAGCAATATAGACATTAAAAAAGGAGGAGAGATAAAGATGGATAGATTTTGAAAGAAAAAAGGAGCAAAATATACTAGAGCACCCGCCAACCACCCATAGTTCTGCTTCTGGAAAGAGAGTCACGCTCTGGTGTTCTTCCTCCTAAATCCCCTCCCCCCCTCCCTTTTGGCCCCAGAAGAGTTCACAGCACCGTCCACTAGACCAGAATTTGAAAAAGCCATCCATTGTAAAGTCATCAATTATTGTCAATGTCAAATTAGGAGTTTGAGTTAAGAGGTGTAAATCAGCACCATAGCGGCCATTTAATTCATAGAAAGAAAAAAAAGCAAAATACACAGACGGAAACAACTGAGAGAAAGTCTACCAGTGGCGTCCTCCACTCAAACCACCTGCTGCAAATTCGGAAGATTAAAATGTTGAGAAGAAGTACAGCTAGGAGCAGAACACACCAGAGCACCCACCTACCTACCACCCACATGTCAGTAGTACATAAAAATACCATGAAGCAGAAAACAACATAATAAATGCTGTCCAACAGATGCTCACGGCATAAAAGCACACTGCAGTGCCCAGGAATTGAATGTAAACCCTCGCTTCGTAGAAAATAAAAAACCCAAAACATCTTTTGTTCCCTGAGGTAAACCTAGATATGAACCAAGCAGTAAGTCTGGTCATTCAAAATTTACAAGGCATTTAAAAAAAACAAACAAATTAAGATTAAGTCCTTTGCAACGTCTTACAGAGGTCTGTCACAAGAAAAAAACAAAACAACCTTTCATGAACTTTTATGAAAAAATATTCAAAATATTCCAATTCCTACAAATAAAAAACAATGACAAGATTCTTAATTGATAAGAGAATATCACCTCCTCAGAGTAAGACTCCATCATACATCACTTTTCACAATTTTGTATGGCAGAGCCTTACTCTGAACATTTGATATATTTGCTTCTTACACCTGGTTTGAGTAAATAAAAGCATATCAACACATTAATTGCCATTTAGAGCAGGGGACAAAGCAAGATATCCAGACAGAAAAGACAGAGAGTGAGAGGAAAGAAGAAAGACCTACCGGTGGGACCCTTGGACCAACTGTTTGTATTTCCCAAATGTGTAATCCACAAATTAAATAAGGAATAAAAAAAATTACATAATATCCACACTATAAGCTCCACTTATCCTATCTGTAGGGTTAAAATAAGGGAAATGCTATCCGCACTTTCTACTACAACAATTTTAAATGGAGATCGATTTGCACAAGTCACAGAAATAGAAACTTGTTCAAATTTCATTTGAAAAATGATAAGTGACAAAACAGGAAAGTGCACGCAAGAAAAACAAAACCTTCCAAAATAAAACCTTTCTCCCTCATCAGCACAACATAATGAACACTGCCACGAGACATGTGAATAAATAAAACTTAGTCATCACAAAAGAAAACTTAAAAATAATAATTAAAAAAAAAAAAATCTAAAAACATACACCAAAAAAATATATTAAAAAATGTGCGAAATAAGTTTGATACTGGCACTGGAGTCTGGTGTAAACAAAAATATCAAAGAAACACAAACCAGAGATGAAGAGAAGGTGGGATCCAATGGGAAAAAAATGAAAACAGGGGATGAATAAACAGGAAAGGGATGATAAACAGAAAAGGAGAAATTCTCTACATCTCTATGGTGTACAGGAACAAAGTAGGGTTTATGAGAGACTTTGCTGAGTTGTAGTGTATGTCAAAGTCAGCACAGCAATGGCCATACATCACCAGGAACTGGCATGATTAATGAAGACTCTGAAAAGAAGTAGGGGTAAGTGCCACACCAACCACCAACAACCTGCAATATTCTCTTGACATCCAAGAGAACAGAAAGAGAGAAAGAAAGAACAAAAGAAAAAAGTAAGAAAGAAAGTATGAAAGAAAGAAAGAAAGAAAGAAAGAAAGAAAGAGGAAAGAAAGAAAGAAAGAAAGAAAGAAAGAAAGAAAGAAAGAAAGAAAGAAAGAAAGAAAGAAAGATTTTAAAAGAAAGAATGAGAAGCTTAACCAAAAAATAAAAGATGCCATCCCCCCTCCTCACACATACACACAAGGGACAGAAATAAACCTAGCTAACTAAACCACACCAGAACATTTGTGCACTGCATACCCGTAATGAACACACATAAAATCTATAATAATATCATCTGTGGTAGCAAGCACTGTCGGCTCCTTTTTATGAAAACGAAACCCTGCCCTAAGGAAGCATTGTCATGAAACAATGTCGTGCCAACATTTTAAACCCTATCCGTACGCCCTGAGGTCATTTTGTACTCCCGGGGTTGCATTCTTCACATTTCAGAATACTTCTAGAGTGAAGATCTCTGTGAAACTTTCAGTATTTCTCAAAAAATCATTTTGACAGACTGCTTTGCAAAGCGTACGGATCGGATTAACGAGTAAATTTTCTCTTTGGAAAGTGGTTGCTTAAAGTTCCCCAAGTCGTGTGGACACGATAGTAAAACACAATGTATGGATACGGTCAATGAAGACATCAGGATTAAAAAATTTGAATAAAACATACCACCTGGGAAAGTTTCCACTTGTGTATCTACATTCTCACGTTTCATCCTCAGCACTACAAGTAACTCGGTACCCATATATCAATCATTCAGTCTCAAACAGTCACTCTCCTTTCACATTCATATCTTATTCGTGTATTTTCAAAGAAAGCCACTTTTACAATTTTACATGTATTTATAATATGCAAAATAAAAATATCAGGGTACAAGGCAAGATATGGATCGGGGGTGTGAAGGAAACCCTGAAAACATACAACATTCCACCCAGCCAGGCCATACAGCTTGCTAGAGACAGAAAGCTCTTTCTCCCCTCAACGCCCTAGAGTAACAAGAGGATAGACAAAGTAAGTAAAAACATGTATTTCCAAATCAGCTGCATAGGGTGAGACTCCCACACACCATTTTAAAGAATGATGAGTGGATAATGTTTTACATAGAGCAGTCCAAATGTACTTGGTTTTTCCACTGGCCTACTTCATATGAACCACAACAACCACATTTCAGGCAAGCGGTTATACCATTAACTCCTGCCATCACAATCTCTTTGCATTTACCAACGACAAGCAGTCAAACAGAAGAAGGGTCTTGAAAATCCAGAAGAAAATGAATAACCTTAATGATAATAGCGAGTCAAAATCTAAAAAATCTCTTGAGCTCAAAGCGTGAATACCAACCCATTTATCATTCCACAACATGCATCCAGATGCCATGAAAAAGTTTAATCATGCAGATAACTTAACCTTGATGGTCGACTCTTTTCATTATCCGTTTTACATTTTACACTGTATAAGAAACATAGAAAAACCTGAGGGAGCACTTGACTGAGAGCAAATCTTGATAGAAATAAAAAAATGGCCCTCTCCCTACCCTGAACCTTGCCCTTTGGCATATTTGAGTTTGAGTAAAGAGAAGCACATCCGTACAACAACTGTGCTATGTTGTCGAGACAAAGTAAGAGATAGACTGACAGAGACGACAGGGAAAGAAAAGAAGTAGGATCTTCCATTTGCATCCTACAACCATGCGCTACCTTAGCACTAAAACCTGATCTGAATGAGATGATGCATCATATGATAGAGGTAAGGCTAGGCAACACACAGGGGTATAGAAAATACTATTTGATTAATGAGTTGTTATTTTTCAATTAGACCCTACTGAAAGATAGAACTTATAAAGCAGAATATCATCAAGCATGCATTCTTTCATACTCTATGAAAACTGTTCCTAACTTAACAATAGTGCAGTTTTCACCCAGTTACGTCAGTCTCCAGCATTTGTCCGTTTATCAAAAATGTTTTTGATAACAAAACCAAAAGACAATGAACAAACACAATCCTTCAAATTGGAACTGAAAGTGAAGATGTTCAAGAAACAAAAATAACTTTTATATTTCATATATATTTTTTAAAAACTTTAAAAAACAACAACACTGGAGTTAAATCAAAATAAAAAAGCATTCCAAAATGTGTACCACCACATACACAGCCCATATGTGCTACAAAATAATTAACTCAAATGTAAAATAAAACCATCATTCAAGAAATATGACTACCGAGATTCCCTAAACCATTTCCTCTTCTACAAAGCGGAGGCAATGTCCAGTGTGCTTCCCAGAAGTGTAAAAATACTTCTCCGAGAACAAATCTGATCATGGCGGGCTCATTCCTCGTTTCAAAAGGGTCCCTAATACATTTTGTATAAATCTATACGTAGGAGAAATAACGGAACTGTGAACAGGATTCAGGTAAAAGTTATAAGCATTTGAATGCCAACAGAAAAAAATCATTTCTTCCACATGAAAGGAACCACAGAATTTCCCCTACAGACCAATAAAGGTTATTCAATCTGTTATTATCTTGTCCAATTCCTTATCACAAACCCACAAAAGACAAAGCAGTCGCACTTAATCAGGCAGGGAAGTATAGGAAACTCCAGCCAGACAAAACTACTGTTCGCTTGAGTAAACAAGGAGAATACTGATGAAATCATCCTCATTTTGAGAAAGGGAAAAGTAGCACAGACTCACTGAAACAAAAGAAGGAAAAAATAAATGTAGGATGTATCACTGGGATCCTGCAACTGCTAACCCATTTAAACTAAAGCAGGCTGGCCAACTTTTTCAAAACCCAGTCACGGATACCCAAATAACAACGAACAAAATTGACATCAAGTGGGACTGATTCTGGAGTAGTGTAGTAAATGTCCTCTCAAATTCCCTAGCTGCTGAATCCGGGACAGTCCCAGGAAATTCAGGACAGTTGGCAAGTCTGCTTAAGCTAAAAACCGAAGCAAAAAACTAGTGCCTCTTAGTAAGTTCCCTGGCATGCTACATTGTCGAGGAACGAGCCCAGCCATGATTAGACTCTACCACCGAGGATCGAGCCGAGGTGCCTCAACAATTCTCACCAGCCTGAGTACCCCGAGCGAGACACTGCGTCGGTGGGTCTGCACTACACTGCGCACTGCTGGGATCGGTTTCAATCTGACCTGGGGCAGACGCTGCCATCGTAAACATAATGCCAGAAACACATTACTTACCAACCATCACATACATCAACAAGGGTCACCTTTGCCGTTTTATCACAAACTTGGTGCCATAGAAATAAGACATTACTGATGACCCCATGGACAAAGACAGATCCCATTTGCTGTATTCAACTGCTCAGTTGCCATGAAATAGTTTAGTTTTCATAAGATTTTATAACACTTGCAAAAAAAAATAGATCACATCTGAAGATTCGAGGTACTACAAAGAAAAGAAGGAGGAGAGACAAGGATGATAGATGTTTGGTAAGAAAAAAGAAGTAAACCATATCTGACCACCTGCCAACCAAAACTCAGAACTTGCTTTTTCACTATGTGGTTTAAGAAAATGACATGAAAAAAAATTGTTCTGTAAAATGGAACCCAGAAAACATTAACTTTCAATTGAATAATTTCTAAAATATGAGCAACACATACAACACTTGACTGAAACAGTCAAGAGTGTTTGTGCCAAAGTAAAGCAAATATCTATAGCACAATGCTATGACTATCTCACACATAAAGTATTAAAAAACAACAACAATACAACAGCCACAACATGAAAGGGCTCAAACAAAGAACTCATACAGCAGAATAGCGATGAAAAGTAAACACATGAACAACTGGAAAGACAACTACCAAAACAGCAGTGGACAAACGAATGAGCTCACCTCTGAAACAGGTGCACTGACATCCCCAGATTTCGGTGCAGACTGGGCCTAGGAACACACAAAAAAACCACAAAAAAAACAGCAGCTAGGAGAAATCCAATACACCGAGTATAAGTAAGACAGCACATGAACTCCCCTCTTCCCCTATCAAAGTAAACCCAAGAAAAAAAATCTCATTAAAACGTAAAAGATGGGAAGGTGTAACTCATTACAAGGTATAACCACCAGAACATGGTACATTACGTATCAAGAAATATCACTAAATTGTTCTTAAAAGCCTCTTACAAGTCGGTTTATTTCGTCAAAGCATCAGACCGTGCTACAAAAATATTAAAAACAAAACAACAAACACAATAAAAATTCAGTATGTTCACCTGTTTACACCAAAGTTCCAAAGGTCAGAATTTATTTTGAGTGTGAGTTTGAGTCAAGAAAGAGAGAGAGACACCTCAATAAAATAGAAAAGCAGTAACTAATGGCGCTTTTTTTTACTGACATTTAGAGTACTAAACATTTTTTTAAATACAAGAAAATTGCACTTTTTATGTGATTTGGGGGAAAAATAAAATCATTTAATTTTGACGCTGTTTTTTTCGTTTTACAAAATAAAAATACAGGGGAAAAGCAATTTACAGGAACAAAGTGGGTGAGCAGGTAGGGTGGGGGGGAGAGAAATGAACCTACAAAAAAGACCTTCTGATTACCCCTGAACCCCATTTAAGTTAATAACGGAGATATGGGAAATAAGAGAGCACCTAGGCAAAGACAGACCCCTCAGATTTCTGAACATGAGTGATTATCTTAGGGCAGTCAATTTCCTTCCCCTTTTTCTGGGAGAAAGGTTTCTCTATTGCCACACATCTCCAACTACTGACCTGACTGACCTCCTTGGGAGAGACTCTGGGCGGCACAGCCGGGGCTACCATTTGTGCATCTGTAATGAGAAAGATTTTTAAAAAACGGAATAACAACCACATCAACAGTTCAGCCCTTGACTCCCTACAAAGTTCAGCAAAAGTTAAGTACACCCCCCCCCCCCCCCCAATCCCATTTCAAACAACTCGGCCAATAGGGTACGCAGTGGGGCAAGAGTATGTCTCACAGGAACAGAAAATAGAAGGCTGTGATAGTCAAAATCGGAAAATAAAAACGGCGTAGGGCGTAGAAACAGGACATACATTTAACTTCCAAGTGCTAAACTTTCAGGAGAAAAGGGTGAACATTTAATTGCTATTTAAATTGTTTGTTAACTCGCTGGAACCCTTGCTCAGGGTAACTTTCATTGCAGACCTTTCATTGATACTGGGGATACATGCAACGAATGAGTCTGTTGCTTCACCACACTTGACGGGTTCAGTGATACCGGTATACAATCTAACTTCTGACCTCTTTAAGGAATGTAAACCAGAAATAGTCAGTCAGCCTAACTTATTGAAAATTCTATCAGTGCAAACCAGGAGTCATTCAAACTGTTGGGTGAAAAGAAGCAAATAGACAAAAAAACAACCCTTTCTTACAGGGAAAAAGGCAAGATAAAGAGAGACAGAAATAATAGAAGAAAAGAAAAGAAATGTGACTCAACAACTCTAAAACTTGGAACAAGCTTCCACTTACCCAGCAAGTTAGAAAAATGTACACTAAAAATTATACGTTTTGTATTTTCTCAAAATCACACAAAGGTACCGGTTGCTAGTCTAATGGTTAGGCTGCCTGCCTCATAACTGTAAAACTGCAAGTTCGAATCCACAATTCGTGAGGTGAACATGAGTACGTAAGTGAAAGATTTTGTTAGTACATTTGTGTTTGAGTGCCTGCAGAAAGACAGCTTGTGCTGAATGCTTTCCTGGGCACTGTCAGGGTACTAAATAAATTGTAAAGCACACAAGAGCCTAAGAGCCTATTTTTAGTAGACATGCACTACATCAGTGCAATCTATTAATATTATCAATATCATTGTCATCTATTTTCATCCGTCATAGCTACAAAACTCAGAATATCGAAAGCATACATCAGCTCAGTTCTTTCATATGTGTGTCGGAACAATATCAAAAGAAAATAATTTTAAGCAAATGAAATGTGGTCCATAAGCAGAACACTGAAAATATCATTGACAAAAAAGAAGACAAACCAAGAAGTGTTGGGAACGGCAAACATGATAATATCACCCTTTAAGACAATAAGGAGGCGGATGATGATATTCATGGAGTATGTATTCCGAAAAAAAGGCTTGGAACAACTAAGTATGACCAGAAAAATTGAAGGAAAGAAAAGCCGAGAACACCAGTCCTCAAGATTTATGAAAAATAACACCAAGACAACTATCAAGAAAATGAACATTTCATTCATGAGGGCCATGAACGATAAGGGGGAGGAAAAAGCTGAAACCACCAATGTCCAGACAAGACATTTGTGTCATAAGTCAGTGGAATCAGGGGCTCATCAATTTTTGGGTATATAGAGTTATTAATATGATCTCAAAATTTGTTCATCTGTCTTGCATTTGGCGGAAAAAAAATCCCACCTATCTAAAATAGAAGTTGAGAAAATTGCGATTAAAGGTGGGGGTTGCCTGGTATGAGAGGTAAAATGAGAAAGAAAATGGCCGCTAAACTTAGGAGACTCCCAAAACTTGAGAGTCCTTGGAAACTGGAAATTTACATCTTTCATGCCTTTTAAGAACGTTTTGTGAAAACATCCACACGTAAAAGCCTTTCGAAAGGACAAAAAAGTGTTGAGCCAAAAAAGGAAATTGGAACAAATGAATTTCCTAACGCCCCCCCAAAAATGCCGGTTTCTTTGATTTCACTGTTTTGATGAGCACCCGATTTCACCATGCTGCCTCACATTCGATGATGACGATGGTCCAACATGATAAGAACAGCTTACTTGACTTGACATCCACAGACATGCTCCTTCCATGTGGGGGCCTTGGGGGTGGGGTGGGCGGGGCCTGACTACTGTGTCCCGAGGCATTCTGCTCAGAGTTGGAGCTGACCGCGTCCGCTGGGGTACCTGGTGGAGGCTGGAGCTGACCTCTAACCACAACAGGCACTGGAAGTGGGGAGTGGCCAGTAGAAATCATAATAATTATAATAATACATTCATTTCTATTTAGCACATTTCTACAAAGTGCTCTACAATAATACAAAGAACACAGTTTTAATGGTGATCCTTTTACCCTCCCCTCTCTCTTTTTCTTCTCACTCCTTCTATCATAGGTCAATATCACTTCACCCCTTCTGTTTTAGAGGATTCAGATTGTGCTGGAAAGCAAAACCAGCTCCCATAGCTCAAAGCTGTGATCGCTCAATGTGAAAAAAACAACCCCAAAAAACAAAACCAGTTGCAAAATATTTTTCCTTAAAAAAAAAAAAAGGATCTTTGTATTAGACAACTTTTAGCGTTGGTTTCACACTAAATCAATCCATAATACATTTAAAAATTGCTTTTAGTCTGAATAAAGTGTGTCAGACATTGAAGCTCATCTTTTCCGTTTGGTGGGCCTTAAGCACAGAGGCTAATTAACTTTCTGGATAATTCCCTTTCAAATCTAATACACATGTTAAACGGAAAAGGAAAAAAGTACATACATAATACACAGGACAACCTTCCTGTAAATAGTTAATCAATAAAGTCCTACAAACCCACGAAGCTAAAACAAAGAGGAAAGAACAACCCTCTACACAATGTACTCCCTCACAAACATGGTGGGGTAGGCCCCACACCTGTGTCTGTCGTATAGAATAAAACGGTCAGTCAGCTGGACGGTGCACAGATCTCACAAGTACAGATTAGAACATTAGTAATACAGAGAGAAAGCAGGAGGGACAGACCACATTAGAGTATCCCCACCACAACCACCCGCGAGATACAGATGAGAGAACCCAGCACTAAAATCCATAGTTCAGTAGCAATGATCTGAGAAATGGCAAATACCTTTCCTATACAATATTTCAAAATCAAGAGTAAACAAAGAAAGACACATCGACATGATAACAGCCATTAATTGCAGGGAAGTAGCAAGATAGAGAGACAGAACAATAGAGGAGGGGGAAAAAAGAAGTAAAAGAAGTAGTACCTACCGGTGGCACCCTCAACCCCCCCCCTCCCCCCAATAGGTCATTGTGGTAAGAGGAAAGGTAAGTGGAAGGGAAGGAGGGGACAGGGGGAGTAGGAGAAGGAGGGGGAGGGGTGTGAGGAGGTGTGACAAGCGTGGGACGAGGCTGGGGTGGAGTTTAGACACACCCAGTGATTTTTGACAAGCCCCAGTGGTTTTGTTGCTGTAAAGCAAAGACAGGGCGCGACTGTCACAACATGCTGGGTCAATGGACTAGCGGGACGACACCGAGACAGAGAAAAACCCAAACCACTTTAGTCACGACATCAACACCGAACGTTAAAACTTGTGTGAAAAAAAAAGCCATGGAACAAACATCAACATATTCAACTACTCTAAGGGTTAGACACAATTTTAGGTGGAACCCCACAGGTCCTTTCTAGATGAAAACAGGCATGGAATCTTTTTTCAAAATGACTTGATGAATATACGGGAAGACTTGGTAGAAGAAACAAAACAGAACAACCCACATTCCAACACTTTCAAACTCTAGAAAAGACATCATTTCATCCCATTACAAAGAGTTATTCAACAATCAAATATAAAACCATATAAAAATATAAAGTCATGTGTCTTATAAAGAAATATACACACAAAGCTCAAAACATTTCGTTGGTAAAGCAGAAAAAAAAAATACAGCCACAGAAACATCTAATAAAGACATTCAAATAAAATGTCTCATATAGTCGGAGTGTTTTTCATTCTAATTCATCCCATTTGTGTTGTGCTTAATTAAGAAACTCTGATTTTGTTGGCCACATTCGATTATAGACAAATCATCACCCAAATTATACCACTCTTTCCAAATCTTTTCCAATTTTTAGGCAAGAAGCATCTGGACCTTTCATTTTTATTTTTCCATTCTATTGTTCTAACTTGTGAACACAGCACAGGTAGTTCCCTTTTCCGGTGATCCTGTTAGACAAATATTTCTCTAACTGAATTGAGAATATGACTTTGCAGTTATATTTTGACCTATGGCTGATAAGATTTATACTGGACAACAAAGCAAAAATTTCATCAACTCCAAAACCCTCTACTTTTTTGGCATCTCTTTCGCCAAAGTAAATTTTCGTCTGAAGAACAAGAACATTTAACTGCAAGAAAATCTCATAAAATCTGAAAATCATTGTGGAAAAAGTGTGCTTGTACATATGGTACACAGCTGCGCAATTGGGTAATTGGTTAGACTATATGAATTAGCCTCCCTATTCTTATTCTCTCTCCTCTGCCCCTTCCCTCCCCATTCCCCTTCATATAAATTCCTGCCCTTGGCCCTGTCATACTTTTTCTCTCTCCTCTCACCCCCCCCCCCCCCCCCCCCCCCCCCCCCCAACCAACCCACTCCTTTCACATCTCCACATTTGAAGACCACAGCCCTCTTGTATCCACCCCCCAAGAAAAGGACTAGGTATTCTATTCCCATCTTCAAGTATGGTATTATGGTATATTCCCAACAATTCCACTGCAGTCGTTATACCTGCACTCTGCTTCTTAGGCGGCACAGGCCTTGGTCGGCCCTGAATTGGTGTGCTATATTTGGAGTTGGGAGTCTCCGACTGACTAGAATCAAGGGGATGCGACTCTGTGTTGGCGCGCTGCTTGGTGAGGGGTGGGGTGAGCTCCCCAGGATCAGCCCCCCCAGGTTCATGAGGCACGGCCGAGTCTGTGAACACACATACACTGACATACGCATACACGGACACACATAACAATAGACGGCGAATCACGCCGCTCAAGTCAAGACTGTCGATAGCGTACAGTGAGCCATAGGACAGACAAGTAACACAATGCTGAAACATTTCAAAGGCTCAATGGAAGAACTGGATGGGTCATCATTTTTGTGAATATCAGGGTGGAGTCACCACTTTTCAACATATTTGTTATGAAATAGCTCCATTACCGCTAAAGATATCAAAATACAAGAATACTGATATCCAAAAGGTTTTACAGACTTAGATAACAAGAGTAATTCACTGTAGTAAGCCTCCTACACTTTGAATTTGCAATTGCTCAAAATTGTAAAAATATGACACCTAGATTTTCGACTGAGCCCTTCATTTGTTACTGACTAGACAAAGTATCATCAAAACGGACGAATACATGCAAGCATACAGATCTGTTGCATTGTCATTACGACTTACCTGAATAAAATTAACGGAATGAAAATTGAGGAGCGGCATGAGAACATTCTTGTTTTCCACAGTGTAAAGGGAAAAAGTGAGACAATGTACAGATAATGCCAGTATTGAGTGATGAAGGAAAGAAAGAGCATCTAACTTGATCTCAGTATGTACAAAATCTATGGCCTTACAACTGTGTCATGTGTCAGCAGTACACAGCACAAGGTGCATCTTTAGACAAAAGAGAGAAAACAGTCATGTTTTCAAAACTCCTTCGCATATCACACTGCCTTAGAAAAAAACTTAAAACTGCTCATTCCAACAGCTTTTCACTTCAATTTAGTCATTCTCCCTAACGATTGTATAATAATTAAAAGAAAAAAATCTTTCATGTTCAATGTCTCAATAAATGTGTTCCATTTTTATATGCCCTCATTCAAAGTGAAGATTTGATGCCAATAAGAGACCTTAAAAAGTAAAAGTGATAATCTGGAGATAAAAACAATATTAAAGTCAAGCACTATTTAAAAATTTAATAAATGTGAGATTATTGTATAAGATATATTTGTCAAGATATCAGTCAAGTTTCTGGTGGGGACATATATGACACTTTGAAACAGGCAAACTGTTACTTCAAGGCTGTAATTGTTTAAAATTAATTGAATCTCTCCGCTTTACAAAAAAGCCAGATGTCAACAACAAAAATGTATACACAGCACATATAGAGTTTCTTGAAACAAATAAGTCAACCTTGTTCTGAAGAGGCCACTAAAAAAATTAGAACCAGTTCAGTTAAGTGTACTACACTGATATCTTTATCAAACCAAAATCCTTCTCTGTTCTAATGCCCCTTCAAATATAAAATGTTCAGTTCCAAGGGCTTGAAACTTAGAAGAAATCTTAACACAATATTAGAGCCAGAATATAAAGACACTTTGAATGATGAAAAATCATTTGTGAGATTTAATTTTGATAAAGCATTTATAAGACAACAGATTTAACTAAAACTATTGAGGTGTCTGTAAAAAAAACTTGTCATTTGACAGGTGAAACAAATACAAAATGGAACAAATAAATCATGAAAACAAATACCATGCAATAAATAACTTTTCCTTGCTACAAATAATTTCATGCACAAGATGTGACTACATCTGCAGCCAAGCCATGCAAAGCGTCATGCAAAAGGAACACAAATGGTCACATTTCGAAAATAAACTTTGGCAAATGTACTGAAACAAACACTAAGGTCTCCTTAAGCCATAAAATGATGAAACTATTCAGTTTTACATGCAGTCAATAAATGTGCTCTTTCTACATCATTTCTATCTGTTTGCCTGCCCTACTGAGAGAAGTGAGATATTCTGGTACTCAAATCTGTCTTAAAAGTCCCTGACTGAGAACCACCAGGGGGAAACAAGAATCTTGAAACAGAAACAAATATCGGAAGCACCCCTTGTCTCCTGAAACAGATACGTGTCTTTCGATCTCCGCATACTAGGAAAAGGATTTTGTATTTTCGAGAATCATCATCCGTATTCTAAGAGTGTTTGTTTTAGTAGAGGTTTTACGGCGCTTGCAACTGCATAAGGTCATATGAGCGCCAAATTCTAAGAGTGTTTAAATAACTTTGGAAAGTAATTTTTTTTAAAAAGTAATATAATGCAAAGACACATATCTATGTCATAAATAAGAAAATCCACCTTCACACTATCATAAGCTATATTGTCCCGACATGGGCAAAGCTGGGACTGAAATTATTGAACTTAAAAAGCTAAAGGACAATATGTTGAGTTTCTGCATAGTAAACGGGAGGAAGCAAATGCCACTTTTCATTTATTTTTTCCTTTATTTGAGTAAAAAGAAGCACATTGACACAATAATCGCCACTAAGTATAACTATTTATCTTTGATCTGTAGATCTATAATATCTCTTCCCTTTTCAAGAATTTTCATGAAAAAAAAACCACCTGTGTCTCCTGATACTTATGTAAAGAAGGAAGTACCAGTTCATGCAACATGCACAAGACTTTTGACCATCAAGGACTACTTGTTCAGGAAGCAGAGAGTAGAGTTCATAAGCTTTTTGTTTCCACTTGAGGAACAGATTCCCTCCCCTCTAAAATATCTACAAAATACAAAATTCATAAAAGCGTCACTTTAATTTTCTTGTTCTCTTCACCCTCTTTTTCAAAACTTTAATGTCACTGTTTTACTTTACTTCTATTAAAAATTGAATAGCTCCATTTCGTTTAAAGTATATGTGTCCATTCATGGAAATACACTGCTTAAAATTATGACATACAGAACTCCACTACAGCCAAAGCTCCTACTTACAAGTGGCATAAAACAAAATTTACCAACGCAGTTTCACAAAAACAATGTCTGCTGTGTCAACATAAAAATCACGACAATTTTGGTTGGGTGCTAGAGTGGGACAGACTTGGAGTCCACTGTTTCCTACAAGCAGCTGTGCTGTGGGGGAAGGGGATTGTTGCAACCGCAACTGAAACTAAAAAAGCTGCTACTGCAGAAAAAGGTAACACAAGGATTGCATTGCTGTGTTAAAGATAGCACTAGTACACTGTCAACTCATTTCTCCATGTGGAAGACAAAGGACAGAGGGAAAAAAGACAAGATACAGAATTCTGCCTCGAATCTCTGTGATAAAGAAAGAACGTAATGCATCCAAAAAAACAAAAAAAAAACCCCAACAAGAAAAAACCCAAAAACCAACCAATGTTAGAAAAGCCTTCTTACTTCTCCTGTGATCAAACCACTAACAGAAAATTGACACAATACTTGAGCTGACACAGAACTTCCTGGATTTTTAGGAAAAAGTTGTCAAGTTATTCTTAAACACAAGAGGGTAATTATTAAACTCAAAGAGACTGAAATATTCCACAGTTATTTCCTCTTTTTCAGAAATCCCTGAAAAAGGTAGTACCCTATTTTCAGCAACACTGGTAATGCAGTGACACCAGCAGAGATTGCTTAGCAGATGAGCAACACCAAAGGGCTACAAGAAACACGAGACAGAAACAAAGAGGAGTGAGAAACTGGCGCAAGCTCCCAGCACCAAGCAGGCTACCTGAGAATGCCCTACCACGATCCACGCCTTCGTTCTGCATAGGCAGACCTTCCGGGGACATCCGCACGGCCACCGGCTGGACAATCTTCAGCTCCTGTGGACACATTAAAGACAAAGCTATAGTAATGCGAGTCAGTCGAGGGATCGAACAGTGTTGTCTATCTAAAAACATGCCCCGTTAAAACCATGGCCACCTTAAAGCCTGCTGTAACAGTGTCCCTGAAAGTCTTCTCTATGTTTGTGGGGAGGGGGTGTTATGGTATCTAATGTATTGCATAAATCAACGCACAACATGCACGATGTATAGAACATCTATGCACAAACGTACCCCTTGACTAGAGAGAATTGAGATTTATCACAAAGACTTGGTCAATCATTGAGCCGCATTAATTTTTTTTCAGACAAATGTTTCCTGCCACGTGATATAACAAAAAAAAACCTTTAGTAGTTGTCGTATAGGGTTTTACGGCGCTCCCAACTGCGTAAGGCCATATGAGCGTGCGAAACACAAGTTGGTCTTGTTCACAACAGTTTGCTGTACGGCTGGCTCGGGTCAGTAGTTAAATCTTAAAATATTTAAAAATCAGTGTAAATACACATATATTTTCAATCTAAAACAATTTTTCTAGTTAACATAAAAAAAAGTTTTAGATGAAAATATATGTATATTTTCACTGATTTTTAAACCTTTTATCTTCCTGTGGCTCATATTTCAGCAATGAACAAACAAAGGTTGTTGCATCCAGAAAGCTAGTCAGAAGGAGCTGAGCGGTGTCCTGTGAAATCCACCTGAAAACTTTTTTATCTCCCAATGACCTTGTTCCTCGGCGGAGACAACTAAATCATAATCAAAACAAGAGGAAACTACTTTCATCCTCTATCTACAAAGTACGTTAAAAAACTACATATATCTGTTTACATTCAAAGTAATATCTGATCTGACAAGCCCATATTATGGAAATCATACCTTGTTTCGCAATGTGAGTAGAAGAAGCCAAAACAATGACACAGTCAAACATAGTTTGTGATACAAAAACAGGGGGGGGGCAACTGATCATCTGTGATATTAGAGACAACAAAAGGGATAACAGAGAGACAATAAGCGTGGAGGCACCAAACAAATTAACTTCAGTTAGGTAAACAATTAGAAAGTGAGAGAACATGAGAAAAGTGAAGGGAGTCATATCCATTAGTTCTATACATATATCTCAGCAAAAAACACTTGGATCATTTTTACATTTTCAGGACAATTAGAAAACCTAAGGTGACCATTGCACATGTTCATAAAATATAAACACCATAATCGGAACTAAAACCAATAGCCCATTCATCATTCGAATCCTCATCATAGCAATACTGTAAAGCAGTAGTCATGCTAGGTCAACTCCACATTTTCAAGACTTTTCACACAAATCATTGTAAACAAACAGATTTCCGCACTCAAATGTCACACAAACCACTCAGAAAGTAGTTATAACTGTAACAAGTGTGCATGTCTACAAGGAAATCATTCCTACATCATTTTTGTAGCTCTATTACACTGCAGCCGATCAACGATGCTTGGGGGAAAGAAACGACTTCTTTCCGTCATCGATCAGCATCACGTGGAGGGTAAAGAGTTAAATCACTTTAATTCATGAATGTGAACCCAGTACATTCATCTCCTGTCCTGATCATATCCCACTGAGATATCATTGTCTCTGTCTTTTGTCCCACATACTCTTTATCTTGTGCCCTCATACTCACAGGATCAGCACTGGGTTTGGCAAACTCAAAGTTAGCAAGATGAGCAGGGGAAGGTACACCACTGGAACTGTCCGACTCTTGAACAAATGCCGTCCACTTGGAAATGAAATAATGTTCAAATGATAACATGAAAATACAAACTTTTTCAAAAAACAACAATTCAAACCTAAAAGTTGTTTCTCTCTTGCACTATGTGTTTTTCCAATCTTAAGACAAGTTGATATTTAAATTCATTGCTCTTCCTTCAGAAAAAAACCAGTGTGTTTTCAGTGTGTACTTGCAAATTACTTTCGGTGTTTCCATGGTGACAAAGCCTAAATGGGCTCTTATATTATGATCAAGATTCAGGAATGAAATAGATTATATAGGAGACACTTTTTTTTCCCTATCATTTCTAATGATTTTAGCCCCCCCCCCCCCCCCCTCCTTTAATTGTTCTTTTTTTTTTTTACAACATGAAGAGCATAAAAATCTGAAATCAGAGAAAAGCTGAAATATTAATAGCCCTATTTAATGCATGAAAAACTGTAAAAGACACATACGAATTTTGCGAAAGAAAAAGTAATTAATGCACAGAATATTGGTAAAGACAAAATAAGTAAAGCATTCCCATGTTACACACCTGGGCTACATTTTGTGGAGATGGGGGCGTGGCACGTTTAAGTGTGCTGCCTGGCGGGAGATCTGCGGCAAACGGCTCATCTGGCGAATACAACACACACCTCCTCAGGTCACATAGGCCAAACATGTATTTGCAGGAAATACACATGAAATGTTCTAAAACATTTCATTCAATTGGAATATTAGCATATACCATCTTACAACATGAACCTAACGCACAAACTACAAGCTGCCACCAGTTATAGTTAATGAGATTTCCTACCTGTCCAGATTTTAGGGACATTCTCAATAGATTTTTTAAAAGACAGACTCTTGAAAATATTGTTACAGTTAATTTTGTTCTTAATTAATACATAATCTCATTGAGACATCACAGATGTATATCTGTCAGCTTCCACAACAGTGTGAATCATTTTTTACTTCAATATCTCCGAGAGGAAATGAACAAACAAATTTGGCCATTTTTGCATCAACCATCCCTTCAAAAACACACTGAAGTCGGACCATTTTGTTTTTTATTTCATCTTGCTACATGCCCCATGCACAAGAAGTAATTTCAGCACATGCATTCTGATAGTGCAAAAAAACCCAAAACAACCAAACTCCTAACAATTTTTTTGAAATTACTTCAATTTCATATCTTAATAGAAAACATTGTGCTTATTGTATAAGTATTTTGTTATTTTGGGTTCACATCTACACAGATAAGGAGAACAAATATGGAAAATGCTTGTTGTACATATTATGGATTAATACAGATTTCCTTTACTGACTTTCTATATTTTGCATCCTTAGGATAATCCAAACTCAGAAATACCATGTTAGAGGAATAGAGACAACAACTGAATCAACCAACCTCTTTGCTTAAATTGTGAATATCTTCTCAATAAAACCTCAAATAAATCACGTACCAACAACGTTAATGACAAAATTCAGTTTACAACAAGCACAAGATACAAACTGACCACTGGCTAGCGCGGAGTATGGCATGAGGGAGATAGGCAGGTGTTCAGGCAACTCGATGTCATTGCGGCGCAGAACCACCAGGTGCATGGCGATGCAGAACTCCTCTAAAGACAGGGCTCCGTCGCAGTTCAGGTCTGACAGTTGCCTGGGTAGGGATTCAAAATGAGAATTTGTGACATTCTATTGAAGGAACCCACAAAGTCTGGCAACAAAACCTGTCAATGACGTAAAAAGTGTATTGCCTGAAAAGTGTGCATTAACCTTCAGACCTGATACACTAGAAAAAACAAGCAAATTTATTTCATAGAAAGAAGAGAGGACCACCTGTCACAATGACCCATTCCCCTGAAAAATTCACATGAAGGCACTAGCTTCCAAATGGGGTTGTTTCCATTTCTACCAAAAAAAAATCAAAATAAGTCAGTTCTTTCAATTGTTCCTTTGCTTTATAGCAACATTATGTGAAAGCCCATAAAAACAAACCTGAGGCCTTCGTCATCATTTAGAAATTGTCTTTTTCTCAACACACACACAAGAAGACCAAAACAAACAAAAAACAATCAAAGTCATATTTTCAGATATATAGAAAATAGAATTCTTGTTCAAAACAACCTTTACATTTGTTTTTATTGTACCCTCTTTTCTTAAAAGGTCTCTACCGAGCTTGTTTGGTGTGACTGTTTTGAGAGTAAACAATGAAATGATTGTACATACTAAAATTATACAGTAATAATTTAGATTTTTGTGACTTTGTCTTTTGAGGTCTTTATGCATAGATATCTTACCAGATCTTCGAGAGTTCAACGACCGGCAACTTGGATTTTTCAAAGAAATGCTTGGCAACAGGACCTGACACAAAAAAGCACCAAAAAAAAAGCAGTTAAAATTTTCTGCCATCCCAACAACAATGCCAAAAAAATTAAAACAAAACAATTTTTAAACAGCTGAAACACAAACATCCAAATTTAACACTGTAAAAAATTATAAAACATGCAAGAGGGAACATGCAAGCTCATAATTTGAATTTTAATACTAGTACCTCTTTTATTGTCCATGAATTTCTTTTTTGCTTTTTAGTTTTTCAGAAAAATTACTACAGTTTACTTTTCCTGAGAGAATTTTTTTCTTACTTTTCTGATATCATTCCTATACCTTATCAAAAATAATGTGAATCCTTCCATAGCATATAGAAATTTATGAGCTCAACAATCTTTATAAATTTAAAGTCTTACAACTTTCTTCTCACTATCCTTTCCATTCATTACAGTCATTCATCTCTTTCTCCCACAAGTACTCTGAAGACCTGTGAAAAAAGTGGTGGTGGTGTCCCGTGGATCTTCAATAGATTCTCTTTTATGTTTTGTTGGAACACCGCTCTCGCTCGAGTGCTGAAGGAACGGTACTACTCAAGGGGCAGTGTACTGAGCGGTATTGGTACTGCTCGGGCAGGCTGCCGATAGCGAGAAACCAGCGCTCGAGTGCGCTTTACACAGTACGACTAACAACCAGACACAAGAACCACTGACCCGTAATGACAGCGTTGAGGTCCGGCTGCATGGTCTTGAACTGGTTCACATAATAATCTCGCTGCTCCTCCGTGATGCTCCACACATCGTCCACGCTCTCTGCCTCTGACGAGATGGAGGACGAGTCAAAGTTCGGGGGCTCCAGGCTATTGTAGTGCTGTTTCAAACCTGAGCCAATCAACACTGGAGACATATAAATCAAAACAGACTCATGTTTTGTACAATCATCACGGGAGACATAAAACAAAAAATATGTTTTGTTACTTTGGTAAAAGTTTAACAGCATGAGATCATATGAGAGCATGAGGCACAAGTTGGTCGCTTTCACGGTAGTTCATAGCACGGTTTCGTTTTACTTTACAAGTCATTAAAAAAAATATTTTGGTTTGAGTCATTTAGGTGCAATCAATTACATAATAAGCCTTTGTCCAGAGTCAGTTCCCAACAACAATAAAAGACATTGAGTAAATAGCTCCTCAATGAATGACAACTCGTTCCAGATCTTTCTTTCATCACTTTCTTCTCGATTTGAAAACTCTCAATCCAAATAATCAAGGTCTTTATCCTAGTCAACACTGTCTGTGTCCATACAAATTTCCTCGAACAGATCAGTTTCAGTGAAAAAAAACTTTTCAAAACTCATTTTACCGCTTTTTCCATTTAATTGTCAAAAGTCGAGAACTTTTCCCATTTAATTGTCAGAAGTCAGAAGCAAAATATCTAAACAGAACTAATCAATGGGTTAACAAAAACATAAATATGTTCGTGGAAATATTGACAGGCCTTTGTTTAGATCTAGGTCATATCGCTCGCGAGTATTCTCGTCAGCGGTCCCGTAGGTATTAACTCACTTCAGACGGGTCACACAACAGTTGCGTGACCCCCGCCGCGACGCTCGCGACGGGTCACACGAGCCCTGCGTGACCAACTTTGGAATTTTTTTTTCGCTCTACAAATCACGCACGGATCGCGAGACCCGCCTCGTACCCTTGTTTGGCCAAGCCTGAGCTACTTAGACTTCGTTTCGTATCTCTGGGGCCGGTAGTTTTTAAGTTATTGAAGGTGAAGGACAGTGACCCCAACTGGGGTTGAACAGACCGGAACTCGCGCTTTGTTTTTTTCTCTACAGCTCATAGTAATCCGACAGTCGCGTCGTAGTAACGGTCGAAGAAGTCGCATGAACCAGAATCACATAATTTCGCCGTTTTCTATACTTCTGTACGTTTTACTAGTTTTAGTGTCTCAGAATATGATGTGTCTAATAGTTAGGATCCTGGATATGTACCTGAACACGGCCCGAGTCGTAGTTTTAGGGCTAGATCTAGCACTAGTACCGGTGTTGTTTTTCGCGCAACGAAATCACAACGCCGTGCCGTACATCTGTCTATGTATTTTCAGTGTATGGGTCTGAATCAATGCACAGACCAGCTTTTATATATTCACCAAACACTCGCACATGTATACAAATCAAACCAGAACACTTTGAACTTTTATTTTTGTTGTTGTAGTGAATTTCATTCCACTTGTCACGTCTCTGGAAATTTTTTGGAAAATCAAATTCATGCCAATTTTTAAAAAATCATACAAATTAAAGTATTAAACTTAGACACCTTTGGTTTTTTGTATTAGATTAAGCTTGAATGTTACTTTACTGTGTCAAAAAATAATTACAATAGGGTAATTCTGAGAGTTGTGGTGATTTATTGAAATACCCCCAAAAACGCCAGTCTTCAACGCTTGTGACTGGTGAAAGGGCCCAGTCGCAAGTGAGTTAATAGGAGGGAAGAAAATCAAAACAGGAGGAATACTGAAAAATAGTTCCGAATAACAAAGTAATAGAAGGAATCTCTGTGATCGCAGGAAATGGCGGAAAGTTAAATGCTGCTATGCAGTCTCCACTCACTTTGACTGTCCTCGTCCTCAAACATGGTCCAGGAGCCATTCTCCTGCCCCGGCTGTTGCTCCCCACTCAACGGTCGCTGGTGGCCATGATTGTGACCTTGACCCCCTGGTGCTGTCGCCGCCGGACCAGCCTGACCTCTACCAACAGCCGCACCGTCTCCCATAGCAACGGGATTCACATGGCCTCTGTCAGGCGGGGCAGTGGAGTCCATATTGTCCATGCTTGATGAGGAGAGGGGCGGGGCTTGAGTGGGAGCCCCGCCTCCTGATGCCGTGGAGTTGGGGAACATCATGGCGGGGGCCGTGTGCTGCTTCAGCAAGGGCTTTTGATTGGCTGGGGAAGTGGGTGGAGACTGGGTCGGGGAGAAAGGCGGGGACTTGGAGTTGTGGGGGGATTCATCCCGAGTATTGCTCTGTCATCGGGAACAAGAGACAATAAAGTTGTGTCATTATGCAATAATACCAGAAGGAAATCAGACATGTCATGATGTGCTAAAAATAATAGCTCGGCCTTTCTGAACCCTTAACCATTTCCTTCAGTCATTACTTGAGCCAATGTACAAACGAGATACAAAAAAAACCCTAAAAAAACCTGACACACACACAAACAAGAACATTGGTCTCTCTTTCCCCTGCATTAACAAAAAAAGTTTGTCTCGTGAAGAAAGACAGACAGACAAAGACACACATACACACACACAAAATACACATGGCTAATTCTCTTTCTATCTCTCTCCATTAAAAAAATGTTATGTCTTATTTTCTTTTAAGACGAAAGGAAATATACACATACATATACAAACAAACAAAAACACACACTCTTATTGGTCTCTATCTTTCTCCGTCAAAACCAAAATACGATTAAATTTGTGAATAAAAGCAGATGGACGGACATATGAATGTGTAAAGTACGTCGTGATACAAGTTCAACGTCCCTTTCAACACCTTTGATTTTAACGCCCATCCCATCTGCTTCAGGGCTAAGCCAAGTGGGCAAACAAAGATTGAATATTGCTCAGACAAACCATGTCTGGGAACTTTTAATTGTGGATTCAAACCAGGGTCGCATAAAAATCAAATTTTAGGTTTCTCCTACGGATGAAGTATCAAAAGACAAATCTCGTTTTTTTGTTCAAAGCAAAAAATTAAAATGATATGAAGCAGCAGAAAACAAAAGTCGGGCACAGATAACCTGAAAACAGAATACTTGAAATCTCGGATTGCTTGTACAGTTTGCCATCCCCACACTGATGTCCCTTTAATTTTTCTTTATCGGTTAACCTGAATTGTGGACGTGTCGAACACATTTGTCAATCCCAAACTGTTCAGTTATCTATTCTCCATTGTAAGTTTTTAAATTTAAAAACTTCATCCACTTGGAAGACCAATAGACAGAAATCACAGGAGAGTAAAGAAGTATGACCTTCAAGAGACACTCTCTTATCATCCATTTTCAAACGTGTGACTTCTTCACAAAATACTGGAGAACCTACTCTGACAGCCATCGGTATAAAACAATCACCTGCATAAACAGATTACCCCCCCTCTGGGTAAGATGGCCAACCCGCTACCTCAAAATTATTAAGTTTTATCTGACATTTTTTCCTCTTTTAAGTTACTAAGACCATGAAATCAGACACCAAATATTTTATTTCCTTTTAAAAAATTGTAACATTATTCTGAGTCGTTATGGGGACATGACATTCAAAGAAATGCATTCGAAAAAGCTTGACATGATGTGAATCTAAAAAACTTTTACGTCGAATTTCTCAAAACTAGGTAGTAAGCAGACAGAACTTTCTAATTCTTAGGGTAAGCAACCTATCTAAAATGTCTACTTTTCTCCTTGACAATGGGTGACCATCTAAGACAGTTTCGACTGTCCCTACAACCCTGTATATACCTGAGTTGTGGAGTTGAACTGTGCGGGTGGCCCATCAGGCACGACTCCCCTGTACTGACCAGACAGGGACCGACTGTGTGACTTCTTAGAACCTGGGGGTGGAGGCAGCTGACCGGACAACTGACCAGAAGGCTTGTCGGCCGTCACCACTCCATCCGGCTCACCACTCGATTTTTTGCGATCTGCTAGGGCTGCTGAAGAAAACGTTGCCAAAGAAATGACTCAAGATTAGCACTGAGTTTGAGTAAATGTAAGGCATGCTGACAAAATGAGTTACTTTCGGCAATCCGCAGATAGAGATATCAGCCGAAATTCAAAACAAGAGTCAAATTTGTAGATTTTCAACTAATGTTTTAAGATTCTTCAACTTCAACGTGTCTTTTGTCATTTCATTACAAATAAATTGTACAAACTAAGCTTATAAATTCGATGCGTCTATGTCCATAAGGCTAAAATCCGAGAAATAACTCATTTTGTCAGCACACCTCACAAATGTCTTACAGCATGGACAATACTGTTCGCTAATTGGGAAATCGGAAACACTTCAAGGAAACTGGTAGGCAAACAAACCATGCCAAAGGCTGAGCTTGACAGCTGCAGTTTATAGAAAGTCAGAAGGAAAACACACAGAGAGAGCGAGAGCAAGAGTGAGCAAGAGAGAACGAGAGAGAGAGAGAGAGAGAGAGAGAGAGAGAGACAGAGAGAGAGAGACAAAACAGACAGACATTACAGGG